AATCATGTTGTGGGTGAGAATGATCCCCGTTTGTGTAAACAGCCAGTTGCAGACCATGTTTATTCTGCCTGTGCTGAAGTTAGTTCTATGAATGAACCTGTTGTAGAAGATGGTTTTGTCCATTCTACCTGTGCTGATGTCAGTACTAATATAAATCCAGTTGTCAGTTCTGATGTTGTTACTCAAGCATTTGTTCCAGTAACCAGTACCCCTTCAGTGGAGAAGTGGGATGTGGTTGTTCCAGATTCCTGTGTGGCCGATTTAGTTGTTGAGAGTAAGCCTGATACTATGACTCTGCTTTATTCCAATAAATTGGGAAAGGATGTCCATGTATCATTGTCTTGCCCGCTCACTACGAACGTTGTGCCAGGAGTTGAGAGAAACTTAAAAGCCACGACTCTGTATTCCAGCCAAGTGAATGGTTTAGGACAAGATGTCGGGTTGGCAGAAGTATTCCCGCTCACTCCAAGTTTAGAATCAGTTGTCGAGAGTAAGTCCGTTGTAGAGGCCCCGCCTCACCCTAGTCAAGGTGATATAATAGGGGAGGAGGTCAAACTACCTGTTACTTGCCCGCTCGTTTCAGATTCCCTTCATTTATGTGCTTTGAGTAGAACTGACCCTAAGATTTCAGAGAGAAGCAAGGAGACAGTCTGTACTGTAGATCCAGTTTTGGAGAGTGTGGGAAAGCAGCCAGAGGATCAGCTTCTGTTGAGTAGATGGAGACCCATTGAGCCTCCCTCTTCAGTTGTCTGTGAGGATGTGACCCAGCTTGGTAGTGATATTATTGATTGTGAGCAGACAGTACTCCAAGCAGCTCCAGAAGTCATGGGAGGAAATTTTGGTAAAATCATTAAGAGTGGTAAAGTAGCATTTGGATCTAAGTTGCAGAGTTGTGATTCTTATTCTATGTGGAGTAAGTATTTCTCATTGTGTACATTGAGTCAGAGTGTGTGTAGGATGTTGAAATCTACTTTTATTCTGCAGGAGCCATTTTCTTGTGAAGTAATGGACTGTGGGACATCTTTGTCAAGCCTTGTGGTTGAGCAGAGAGAGTTTACTCAAGTAGGTTGTGCATCCAGTTCTGAGGAAGTGGTGAGTTATGCTAGAGCAGTGTCTCTATATTCAGATCCAGTAAATTTTGATGCACGAGTGATAAAAGTGTATGTTCCACTCAAGTGTGGTGTTGACTTTCAGAGTCATATTGGAGTTGACTTTCAGAATCATATTGTGGGTGAAGGATTAAATCATACTGGGGAGCAGATGTTTGAGGCTCCAGGTGTGTATTTCAAGTTGGGGGATAAGGTTATCCTACCTAGAGTTAATCATTGTGAAGGGTTACAGATTATCCTTGGGTGTTTCCCAGGTAATCTGCTGTCCATCTTCAAGATGTTAAGACCCTTAAACCTCTTGGTTGATTGGTTGTCATCAGACGTAAATCACTTGGGAAGTGATGGTGAGGGTTGTAAAGTTTTCGGCATGTTTTATTTAGTCTTTTGGAAGACTAGACGGTTGATGAAAGTGTGTGTTGTGTTCAAGTTCACCATCAGAGGGTGTGAACTTGTCTTCGGAGTTCTGATTGAGATATGGTGCCTAGGCATATGCCTGTTTTCTTTCACTGATCGTTATGACAGAGTTATGAGGCAATTGATTTCTGTGTTCCTTATGGATCATCTGAGTCAGTTCGATCAGGTAGTCTTTGCACTTATCTTGGGTTGTATTTCTTGGTTTGAAGGTCAAAGGTTTGCTAAGTCGGTGTCTTGTGTTTCGGAAGGTTCTATGAATGGGAAAGTCTTATGCATAATTGTGAGGTTTAATGCTAATTTCTCTAATTTTAGTATCCATTGGGCGAGAGTATGTGTTCCACAGAGGATCAAGAGTGATGAAGAGCAGATGTCTGTGTCAGAGCATACCCAGGAGAAGTCCCAAATCTACTCAACATCCAGTCAGCTTCAATTAAGCAGTTCAGCTCCAGAAAAAGGGAGTAATGGAAAATGGAGGCTGTCTTGGAAAAATTCACCATGTGGAAAAGGAATCACATGGAAAAATGAAACTGATCTTGGAGAAATAGTAGAAACAAATGAAAAGCTAAATTGCCATGATAACTGTGTGAATGCAGCTACCTTTATTGAAAATTCTATTCATGCTACTAATGATACTGTTGTAGATAGGAGTGTGAAATATGATCTGAAACAAAGTGAAATAAATGAGATAGTACCTTGGAGAGATAAATTTGCATACTCCAGTGACACATATGTAGAACATAGTCATAAGACTGAAATTTCTGAGTTTCCTGTAAGACTATATTTGGAGTGTTTTCATTTTTGTCCAGAAATGTGTTCTTATTACTTATACATGTTTGGTGTAATTAATACCATAAATCTCAAGTGTCATACATTTTACTTTGAAAAAATGCCATTGATCTTCAATCTATTGCATTTTTTTTCTTGGAGGTGGAAGTGTTACGTACTCCTAGCAGAATACGTATATAAATTTGAAATAGCATTTTGTTTTATTTTATCATTGCCTGTATATGTACACACATTGTGTTTTGGTAAATTGTCGTGTGGTGTGGCATCGTCAGTGGACAGGAGCGCGGTTGCCTTTGCACACGTCTAGTACCTGATTGATACGGGAAAGCTGGACCTGTTCAGTTTGAGAGTTCCAGATGTCACTTTTATTTAGTATATATAATTGTTTATATTCTGTAATTAAACAGGTGGCATTGTACTTATATATTTTGTAAGTAACTATTATCTGTAATTTGCATTCTTATGTGTTTTGAGAACAAGTGGTTGTTCAATTAGTTTAAAATATTAAAAAGTCCTTAGTTTCCATCCCTCATCCTGGGATGAGGCAGACGGGAGGTGAGAATGTGGGTAGCGCCAGAGCGAGAGTTCAGTAGCTGATACGGGACCAGGAGAGTAACATGTGGGAGATAAGTCTTTACATTCATTTTGTGCCATATTTTATTTGTTATATTTAGTGATATGACAATACTTTCATTTGTACTATAAGTTAACTTAACCATCTGTGTTTTTATATTATACTGTCTTGAATATATATCTATATAATATTTCGTATCTATTCTTCAGTCCTAAAGGAAGAGTTTTATTTATGTGCTCATTACTTATCAAGGGGTTAAACTGGTGACGCGCTTTAGAGAGCAGCAGTGGTATCCCTAGACGTAATTAAAGCTTGGCTGCTGTAGGGTCACGAGCCGTAACGAACGATAGGTAACATACAGCACCACCAGTAATAACTACAGCACCACCATTAACAGTAACAACAGCAGCACCAGTAACAGTAATATCAGCAGTACAGTAACAGTAACAAATGCAGGACAAGTAACAGTAATACCAGCAGCACCAGTAACAGTAACAACAGAAACACCTGCAACAGTAACAACAGCATCACCAGTAACAGTATCAACAGCAGCACCAAAAAAGTAACAACAGCAGCAGCAGTAACAGTAGCAAACAACAGCAGCAACTGTAACAACAGCAGCAAGAGTAACACAATCAGCAACATTAACAGTAACAGTTACCACAGCAGCAGCACCAGCAACAGTAACAGCAGCAGCAACAGTAACAACAGCAGCAACAGTAACTGTAACAACAGCAGCACAAGCAACATTAACAACAGCAGCACCAGCAACAACAGCAGCAGCAGTAACAGCAGCAGCAACAGTAACAACAGCAGCAACAGTGACAATAGCAGCAACAGTAACAACAGCAGCCTCAGCAACAACAGCAGCAACAGCAACAACAGCAGCAAAAGTAACAACAGCAGCAACAGTAACAACAACAGCATCAGTACCAGTAACACAACAGCACCAGTAACACAACAGCACCAGTAATAACATTAGAAACAGTAACAACCGCAGCAACAGTAACAACAGCAACAGTAACACCAGCAGCAACAGTAACGACAGCAGCAACAGTAATAACCGCAGCAATAGTAACAAAAGCAACAGTAACACTAGCAGCAACAGTAACAACAGCAGCAACAGTAACAACAGCAGCATCAGGAACAACAGCAGGAACATCAAGAACAGCAGTAGCAGTAACAGCAGCAGCACCAACAACAGTAGCACCAACAACAGTAACAACAGCATCACCAGTAACAGCAGATGCACCAGTAGGAGTAAAAACAGCAGCACCAACAACAGTAACAATAGGACCACTAGAAAGAACAACAGTACCAACAACAGTAACAACAGCAGCAATAGTAACAACAGCAGCACCAACAATAGTAGCATCAACAGTAACAACAGCAGCAACAGTAATAACAGCGGCACCAGTAACAAAATCAGCAACAGTAGGAACAACATCAGCACAAGGAACAGCAGCCGCACCAGCACCAGCAACATTAACAACAGTATCACCAGTAACAACAGATGCACCAGTAAGAGTAAAAACAGCAGCAGCAGCAACAGTAGCAACAAGACCACTAGTACCAACAACAGCACCAACAACAGTGACAACAGCAACAATGGTAATAACAGCAGCACCAGCAACATTAACAACATCACCACTAGTAACAACAACAGTACCAACAACAGTAACAACAGAAGCAATAGTAACAACAAAAGCACCAAAAACAGCAGCAGCAACAGTAACAACAGCAACAACAGTAACAACAGCAGCAACAGTAACAACAGCGGCAGCAGAACAAGGAACAGCGCCGCACCGTCAACAACACCAGCAATAGTAACAACACCAGCAACAGCGATAACAGTAACAACAACAGCAACGCCAAAAACAGCAGCAGCAGTAACAGCAACAGTAACAACAGCAGCAACAGTGACAACAGCAGAAACAGTAAGAACAGCAGTGCTAGCAACAACAGCAGCAACAGTAACAACAGCAGCAACAGTAACAACAGCAGCAGCAGCACCAGTAACAGTAACAACAGCAGCACCAGCAACAGTAACAACAGCAGCACCAGCAACAGTAACAACAGAAGCAACAGTAAGAACAGAGGGAAGGAGCAAGACTTACTGGGTACTCTCGCTGTTGATGCTGAAGATGCCCCACCGTGCCCAGCTGTGTTCGATGTGCCATGACCTCCACAATCCAATTTCATTGTAGGCAGCCAGATGCAGTGTCTGGCGCGAGGGCTGCGTCAGCTGGTGCAGTGCCTCCGTCCCTGTCACAGATGGTTATAAAGCCCTCTGTCCCTGTCACAGATGGTAATATAGCCCTCCATCCCTGTCACAGATGGTAATATAGCCCTCCGTCACTGTCACAGATGGCAATATAGCCCTCCGTCCCTGTCACAGATGGTAATATAGCTCTCTGTCCCTGTCACAGATGGTAATATAGCCCTCTGTCCCTGTCACAGATGGTAATATAGCCCTCCGTCCCTGTCACAGATGGTAATAAAGCCCTCCGTCACTGTCACAGATGGTAATATAGCCCTCCGTCCCTGTCACAGATGGTAATATAGCCCTCCGTCCCTGTCACAGATGGTAATATAGCCCTCCGTCCCTGTCACAGATGGTAATATAGTCCTCTGTCCCTGTCACAGATGGTAATATACCCCTCCGTCCCTGTCACAGATGGTAATATACCCCTCCGTCCCTGTCACAGATGGTAATATAGTCCTCTGTCCCTGTCACAGATGGTAATATACCCCTCCGTCCCTGTCACAGATGGTAATATAGCCCTCCATCCCTGTCGCAGATGGTAATATAGCTCTCCATCCCTAGCCCAGCAAACACAAAACGTTTCCAAACCTTCACATATCTCTTCCTATAGGTGTAGGAATAACTTGCATTGAGAATGGTGCAGGAGAGAATTTGAGAAACTTTTAATCCAAAAATCCAAACACATAGGTTTTATAATAAAAAAAATTTCTAGAACTATTTTGTTCCTAATGTATAACAAATAGTTTTTACATGTTTAAATATAAAATTGATGGTGTTTTTTGTCAAATTCATTAATAAATTGTGAATGATATTTAATGGCTGAATGAAACCTTCAAAATGCATTTAGTTATTCTATGATCAGAAAAAAGTATCTTTTTCCAAATTTTCTAAAAATCGCTCTTTTTAACGCAATTTGACTCCTTATGCATTCCACTAAACACTAATATCATGTTTAAATATAAAATTTATGTATTATTCCATAAAATAATTTATATAAATTGTAATTGTTGCTGGAAAGTGGTGTGAAACATTCTGAAAACTTTTTGTTGTCTTATATATTGGCTTTTAATTTGTCTTGTCTTATATATTGATCTTATATAATGTTTTTAAGATTAACATTCGTCAACCCTTAAAATCTTGTGTTATCTTGCAGGTGCAAAATGTGGGAATCTTTAAGAACAGTATCTATATGATAAATGGCATTTTCCCTAACTCAAACAATGTAGGGTTTATTATTTTACACATATATCTAATGACTCTTAGATGTTTACATTCTCTGAAGTATAGTTGTAAAGGCTGTGTCCATCACTCTCACCACAGGTTCTTAAACTCCTCTGCATGTTCAACTAAAATTGTTTCCATTCTGAATCTCCATGGATATTTGTATCCAAAATGAAACCAATATGGTTTCCTTCAGCAGCCAGCACATTTGCTCATTCATTTCCACAGATTCCAACATGGTAGGGGATTCACAGAAATTTGGCTATTCATATTGTTATATAATATAGTGCTCCTGCAATCTGAAGCTGTTTCGGCCCTCCAAGCCAGTCACCCAACAACAACAAACCATAGACCGCCTCCTTGAATCGTCGACGAACAACAACCAAGAAATTCTCAACTTACAAACTGCTGCAAATGACGCAATGGATAAAATACATAAGATTCAGGCCGAGGAAACCAACTCAGCTCAAAGTGACTTCCTTCAAAAGCTGGAAAAACAAATCAATCTCCTTCAGATTCACCAGGCAGCTTCCGAAGATGACCAAGAGCAGCAACAACTTCATGACTCCCTGATAATTAGCTCTACTAATCTACCTGATAAACAACAAGGTGAGAATTGTTGTAACATAGCCCACACCCTAATTAATTCAAAGATCAAAGTCAATGTTGATATCAAATCAGCGATCAGGATAGATAAAAACAGTTCCCGTAACAGTAGGAGAATGCTCATCAAACTTGCAAATCCCTCTGTTAAGTTTGACCTCATACAATCAGCTGCTAAGTAAAAAACCAACCTCTATATAAATGAGTGCCTTACAAAGCAGCGTGGATCCCTCCTTTTTAGGCTGCGTAAAATTCGCAAACTAAACCCTGGTCTTATCAAGAAGTGCTACACTAGGAATGGAACGATCATTGCAAAGAAGGAAAGTGCAGGAAAAAGATATGAAATAAAGTGTGACCAACAACTACTGGCCTTCTTTAGTGATTATGGTACATCTGAAACCTGAACCCGACCAATGCCAATACTTAAAATAACTCTTTGAGTGCCTGAGCCTAACCTAACTTAATCTAACTTTGTCCAAGGTGCTGTCTCTGCCTTACCATTTACCTAATGTTCTCTCATTCATATAATTTCCTAAGTAATCAGTCAAGTCTCCATGCACTTATGCAAGCATCTACCTCAGTATCATTGTAAAATTTTACTCTTAAATCTAATCTTACCCTATTCTTTTTAAATTTTAAATTTAATTGTACTGATTTATGTAATTTATTGAAATTAACTATTGATCTCATATTGTTCTCTTAATTAAGTTCAGACTAATTATAGGTTAAAAACTAAGCTAAATAAAATTAATTATCTTTAAGATTATCTTACTTTACAATTATCATTTGTCAATTTTTTTATATATTCATCTTGACAGTCTCTACTGATTTTTTGTTCTCTCCACCAAACTTGTGTATCCTTCATGGCTCTCTAGTGATCTTTATTCTACTTCTAATTGTTTCAATTCTTTTGTATACTTGCATTTATTGTTGTGTTTTGCTATAATTATTCTCTAATTATAGCAGACTTAGCATTTATGTAAGCATTTACCTCAGTGTCTTAGTAAAATCTTGCTCATAAATATAATCTTACCCTGTTATTTTTTTTAATTTTTAAATTTAATTGTAATTTGATTTATACATCATTTATTGTAATTAATTATTGAGCTCATTTTGTTTTCTTAAGTTCATACAAATTATAGGTTCACAACTAAGCTATATTAAATAATTTATTTTTAAGATAATTTTTACTTTACGATTATTATTTGTCTCTTTATTTTTTTGCTATATATTATTCTTGTCAGTCTACTGATTTTTTCTTCTCTCTTAACCTAACTACTGTATCCTTCCTGGCTATCTACGGGGATCTTTACTTCTAATTGTTTCTATTTTTTGTGTACCTACGTTTATTGTTGTGTTTTGCTATAATTACTTTCTATTTACAGCAGATTTAGTATTTAACTGTTCCTGTAATTGCTTATCTTATTGTATCGTGACATTATTGTATCTATATGCTTACTGATATTCATCCTGATCGAAATCTTCTGTCCCATACCCCCACAAATCAGCACATTGATCATTATTATTGCAGGTATTACACAGCAAATCTTGCAAAAAAGCAAACTCCTAAATAGCACCTGCTTATCAGTTTACAACCAAAATGTTAGGTCACTTGGTAAACATTTTGATGATATAAATGCACTACTCACAGCACTAGGTACTAAATTATCATTCATCATTTTAACAGAAACTTGGCTAAGTAATGACTATACCCAACTCTACAATTTAGCTGGATATAAAGCCATTCATAACTGCAGGCCTAATAAAAAAGGACGTAGCACAGCAATATATTACGAAGATACCTTCCTCAGCAATAGTGTCATTAGTGATAGAGACGACTATTGTGAATATACCTTTGCCAAGTTCTCCAATAAATCCCTTAAATTCTCCCTGACTACTGGTGCCATCAATAGATTTCCTAATACCAACATAGCCTCATTCTCAGACAACATAAGGAATCTTATCATAAATAACAATCTCAACAAAAATCACATCATTCTGGGAAGTGATTTCAATATTGAGCTGGGTCTTCAAAACAACCCTCAAGTTGATTAATACCGTAACAGCATGCACTCCTGTATGCTAATTCCCACAATCACCAAGCCCACCCGAGTCACTCAAACATCTGCCACTACCCTGGATCACTTATGGACTAATATAACAGCTCCCCTTACATCTGGGGTGATCTATGACAACAACTGACCACTATCCTACCTTCCTCATAGCAAATATGGACATAACACCCCCAGAAAGCAAGAAACTCTCATTCAGTTTACACAGGGAATCAGCTTTAGGCAATCTCTCTAATGCATTTCACAATATCAACTGGGAATCTGAATTTAATAATACACAGGATATAAACTCATTAACTAACCTCTTTCTCTCCAAAACTCTAAGCCTCTACAACACTCACTGTCCCCTCCTTACCAAACAAGTAAGTGATAAAAGAAAAAATAACCCGTGGCGCACAAGTGGCATAATTAAATCAATCAATAAAAAACATGAATATGAAAAGAAATTTAGGAGTGGCCTTGTTACAAAGGAAGTAGTTAAAAGGTACTCATCAGTGCTTACCAGTATCATAAGAAAAGCTAAACTTTCATATTATGAGACTAGATTCAAAGAAGCAAAAGGCAACATGTAAAGCACATGGAATACCATCTCTAATATCTTAGGAACTAAACAACACTCCCACAACCAGATAACACTCTCTAAGGATGGCCTTACACCGTCATCTGATTTAGAAATGGTGAATGAATTTAATAGCTTCTTTTCATCGGTTGGTGCTAACCTTGCCAGTAAAATCCCACCGACTCAGACACATATCTCTCAGGCAGCTATCCAAACTCTCTTCTCCTTTCACCAGTCAGCCCGACAGATGTTGTGTCCATCATACACTCACTAAAAACCAAAGCTGGGAACATCAGTGAATTCCCATCCATTATATACAAGACCGCCTCCCATGCTCTTGTGATACCTATAGCTCTGCTGTTCAACAAATCTTTTGAGTGTCATACCTTCCCTAATATCCTTAAAAAAGGAAGAGTAACGCCAGTTCATAAAGGAGGTAATCCGGCAGACATAAACAATTATAGACCAATATCAAACTACCCATACTATCAAAAATATTTGAAAAAAATTATCTACAAACAGCTCTACTCCTATCTCGTAAAAT